GTAAGATCAGAAATGCGAATGAGTTAGAGGAAGTGGAATCTGTTGCTGCTGTCTCTTCCGCATCGCAACTTCTACTCTACCAGCCAGTATCTAGTAATGGCCCGGGCTACTACTTCGCAGTTGGAACCGTCTAGCATCTTTAGCTTGCTGGCAAGCTTCTTACATTGGAGTTAAAAGGTTTCCTAATACAGGGCTAAAGTCAATGAGCCCGCCTCCGATGAGGCTATCTAGCTTAACCCCTGTCAAAATCCGAACCGAGATTCTTGAATAAGAAAACGAGTTTATAATAGGATAGATACTCTCTACTCTACAGTGTTCGTTAGCAAGGAGACTTAGGGGGTACCCTGAAAATATTTCGAACCTTGATGGGGGGAGGGATATAGACTTCTTCTCCTATTGGAACCCCGTAGAATAGGATCCTCCGGAAGGTTGCCGTGTATAGCGTGTGTAGGACGTGTGCCTAGCACACTTAACACAAAATACATTCTACTCAAATACATATGTATATGCAACTGCATAAGCTGGTCTGGTTGGTCAGCCATTTGTCTATGCAAAATTTCTGCCGCTCATTAGTGCAATTTGCATGCATGACGGCAAATTGAGGCCCAGTTTTAAACCAACAACCGTGTCCGTCTAACTGTGCCATTCAAAATAAATGCATACTCAGATACAGATACACATATAGCCACAGCTATAGTTATAGATACAGATACAATTGCATTTTGCTGGTACGTTCATCAAATGCAGAACAAGAGACCGGACACTGAGCCCGGGGCTGGCGGTGATGGAGGCGGAGGTACAGGCGGGGAGCAAAGGCAACTCGTTCGTTGTCGAATTCAAATATGTATATTTTTATTTGACTATTCGCATACGAAACGCACACTAAGCGGCTATTGTTTTTGGCAATTGTGTGCGTTCGTGTGTGTGTGTGTGTGTGTGTGTGCAGCACACCCTCTCAGCCCCTTCTTCGACTTAACCAAACCCGTTCCATGCTGTCCAGATTCGGCGACACTAAGTAAACAACAACGCAGCTGTGGTGTAGAATAGCATACCAGGCCCCTGGCCTGTCTACGCTGCAGGCCTTTGCAAATATGCAAATATGTATGCGCCACCACCACCACCACCACCACCACCACCAGCAGCAGCAGCAGCAGCAGCAGCAGCTGCACCACCACCAACACCACCCACAACCAAAACGGCGCATGTAGCTTGCAGCTTACCCACAATGCGATAACATTTCGTTGGTTTCCAGCTTGGCGTCAAATGCAGATAAAACACAAAACGTTCCAAACTAGTTAGAAAAAAAAAGAAGAAAAACAGCAGCAGCTACAGCAACAGCAATTGCAACAAGAACAACACATTTTTCCTAAAACCAAATTCATTTTCAATTAAGGACATTTCAACATATATCGACAGAGTGCAAGCTCGCCCCACAACTGACTGCTGCCTAATGCTTTTTGTGCAGTTTAGCTGGGAACAGTGAAAATATTTGAAATGCTAAATAAATTACGTATACGTACGTCTGACAGAGCCATATACGTATGGATGCATATATGCATTACATTTGTGTGTTTTGCATTGTACGAATACATATATATGGATATAGTTTTTGGCAATTTACAGTCGCCGCTGTTGACACTCGCTGGCCATATGGCCAGAGTGTCAGAATGTGGTCAAAATGCCAATTGCAAAACAATTGCATTTTGGTTACTTTGCTGTTAAATCCGGAATTTCGATGGCAGCCAACTAACCGACATTGCGACGGGCTTCCGTTGACACTAGGGACACTCGGGCTATCTGGGGTGCCAGCTGCTTGGCTAACTGCTAAGGGGTGTGCGATGGCCAGGTCGGCAGAGGAGAGAAGCTGCCGTGTCATATGTATGCACAAAGACAATAAAAAGCTAGAAGCCTGAGCTTAAAAGCAAATTATTGTAGCTCAGCACACACACACAGACACACGCTCAGAGTGTGTATAAATCTCCTGCTGCATTGCGTGAATTTCATTTCGCACTCGATTTTCCTTTATATGCTTGTTGTTGTTGTTGCCACGGTTACTGTAACATTTGTTGTTGCTGCTGTTGCTGCTGCAGAGCAATGGTCAAATTTGCAGACGACAAGCATTTTTGACATATTCGCCAATGAAAAACTTGCCTAGCAAACACAATAAAAAAAAAAAAAAAACAAAAAACCCCAAAAAGCAATTAAATTGCACACTTTAAAATGCAACAAAAAAGAATGTGACAAAACAAAATGCAAGCAGCAGCACTAAGCAACAGTATTATAAAGCAGTCAAACAAGAAGAAGCATTAAATGAAACCCTGCACCAAACTCACGTACCCTCTGAACCACAATATAGATTAAAGCTTCTGTAATTATTATTCGATGTGAATTGTGAATGTACCCAAAATCTAGTTAATTGTTTACTTAACTCTTTTATCTTGGTTCCAGAGCTGTCTCTCATTTGCCAATAGTTCCATTACAGCAAATACATAAGATTACAAATCAAAGCAAATACAATAGTTCCAGTTATCAACCTTTAACACAATTTAAAAATAAAATAAAAAAAAAAACTAATCGTTTCGATTTAATCAAATTTGACACGCAGATTAACACACGATTAACACATGAAATACAATTTGAATGCTGATTAGGAATATTCACATTATCGTTTACATCTGCTTTATTACCCAAGTCAATTCACCCCTCTTGGCCACTTCGTGAGTACAGGGTATACAAAAGAGAAAAAAATAGGCTATCGTTCACAGACGCATATGTACCCAATTGCATATGACATGAAAATACATTTAATTTCAAAAACTAAACTAATAAAAGCAACTGCAAAACACGTTCAGTTTCTATGACTATTTGCAAAATCTGCTTTTGAGTTATTTTTCCTTTTATATTTGTTTTTCTTTTTCAACAAAATAAGCAAACGAAATGAATTTTGCAAAATTTTAAATGTTTTTTTTTCTCTGTAGTATTGCAATGCAATAAGAGCTCGTTTATAACATTTAAATTTAGTTTGGGCGATTTAAATTTCCCTGATAGCTGATTTTCTGACTGAATATCAAGTTTTCAACGCTTATGTGTGTATGTTTATGTATGTATGTGATGTTAAATAACTATAAAAAAAATTATTTCCAATCATGCCCTACTTTGCGATTCTCATAAATTAAAGTACGATTTTCAAGCTGTCCTGCTTTGATTATGGATATTAAAATTAATAAGTTAAAACTAAACTCTTGCCTCAAAATACTTTCTCTATATCTCTCTATCCATCTCTATGTCTCTCTTTCAAATGATATTCTTTTGGTTGCCCAGGATTTGTTAATATTAAGATTCTTTTCGCTAATAGTAATCTGACGCGCTTGGTATTTGCGTACTAGGAATAATAAGAGTCCACAGTATGAGACGTAATCGGTCAACATGCCGAACGATACTTTGAGCGTCTTGGCTCTCATCCCAACTCGCGTTGTTACTTTTGGAAGAATAAGGATAATTAGGTTTCCCCTTGCTGGGCTTGGGTCTTTAGGGAAAAAAAGAGAAGACTCAAACGTTGGCATCCACTTGATCTACCTGACAGGATTCTCTAAGCCAAAACATATAAAAACACTTTGATATAAACAACATAATTAAAATCTTCGCAGCATAGCCTTAACTTTGTACATCTTAGCCTGAATAGCAGTAAGCCTTGTTACATTTGTACCCCTTGCGCATATCTAAGCTGCCAATATTAGGTAGCAGTAATCTTGTTATTAATAAAAATATATAATGTAAATTTTTGTAAGTAAAGCTTGCGAATGCTAGACAAGTCTTAAATTAAAATCGAACCTGGACGAATGCTGGAAGAAGATTTCGTTGTCCGCGTTCAGATAAGGCTTCAGTTGCAATCAACAACAATGAGTGGGCAGATCAATTGTGAAGGAAGGAAGAGGCAACTAATGCAGCATGTAGAAAATTACAGCGAAATGATGCGCAAAATATTTTAACACAAAATGATAAATATTCTGAAGCATCAGCTCAATAAGTAGGACAACATATCCGTGCGCTCTGTGAGGACGCGCTTCTCTCTGGCAACTGCCATGGTTGCAATACACGCGGGTATCAGAGCAGCACACACACACACACGCACACATTCGCTCACATACACCCGAACACACATGTTGGCAGTTAAAAGCGGCAACAAAAGAAATCGCACACATTTCAACGTTTTGAATTTGTAAAAGGATATTTTTCACATTATAATAAGAAATGAGGCTGAGAACGCGCGCCGCATGTTATGACCATGCCCCTGCCAGCCATAGCTATGCGGCTTTTCCACTGCAGGCTCACACTCAGAAAAAAGGTGCAATAAATTTGGTTAAATCAACATAAAATTAACAATTTTCTAAATTTATTTTGTTTTAAAGAAACTCTTTACATTTTGAAAAAATGACAGTAACATGCACATGTTTAGAAAATGTTTTCGTAAATTACGAAACAAGACATATGTTTTTTATAAAGTTGGTGCTGTTTTTTCTGCGTGTACACCCGCTGGCAGGCACTTTAAAATGCAGAACAGCTGAAAAATCATATAAACACAAATAATAAAATCGACAATTTGGCAAGAGGCGCACGCACATCTACATCTATATATGATATCCTTGTATCCATTTGAGTGTGTGTATGCGTGTGTGCGTGTGCGCTATGAGCACATAACTGCAAATGTACTGGCAACAAAACGTGCGGCGATTTTCTAACAAGTCCAACAACACCAATAAGAATTCTGAAAGGCAAAAGGGTTAATTTAACCTACCCAACTCCAAGCCCCGCCCCACCCAACTTTTATCAAGAGATAGAATGCAAAAGATTCTTCTTGGAAACTTGCCGACTTGATGTGGATGTGAGCATGAGCTCAGCTACTGGAAAAAATTGAAATAACTCAAGTAATTTAAGACTTTAAAGTGGAACTAATAGTATAAGTAGAACCTTAGAAGCTATGACAGAGCCAACAGTTAAGTGTGAAGATTGACGCTGAAAACAATCCAAAATGTTTTCTATAATTATTGCTCTGGCCCTCAATCTAATGCTCCTTGCAAGATCTGAGCTAGCGGAAAGAGAGTTTGTCAAGCCCAGAATTTATGGAGGCCAAGAAAAAACCATCGAACAGGCCGGCGGCTATGCCGTTCAGATCTACCTGGGCCATAGGTTGGTGTGCGGCGGCGGCCTACTCAGCGCCCGTTATATTCTCAGTTCGGCACACTGTTTCGAGCAAGCGGCTTATAAAAAATATCACGTAATCGCCGGCCAGACAATGCCAAGAAATTATTTCGCAACAGAGAGCATGAAAAATTTAGTGCTTAAGTTGAAGATACATCCGGACTATCAGAAACCCAAGTTCGTTGCGGACATTGCCGTCGTGGCGGTAAGTGCGCCCCTTCGAGGACCGAATGTGCACTACTTGCCCCTCTGCTCGGTGAAGCCATCAGCAGGCAATGTGGCCACAGTGTCTGGCTGGGGCAACAGCGAATATTCCCTGCAGGACAATCCGCTGCGTGTTATGGAGGTGCCCGTCATCTCTGACAGCGAATGCAACCAGAAGATGGAACGCCAGATGCCAGACAATGTGCTCTGCGCCGGCGGCTACAACAGGCGTACAATCTGCAACGGCGACTCCGGCGGGCCACTGGTGATCAGGGGCGAGCTGTGTGGCATCAGCACATGGACATGGGAGTGCGGCAACAACGAGATGCCCGATGTCTATATGAGCGCCTACTTTTATCGGGACTTCATAGAAAAGACCATGGCGAAAATGAGCAATTGACACAAAAGCTAAATGGAAAACGGAACACTTGTTGACCTTAATTATTTTATAATAAATGATTTCTTTAAAGTTTCATTTAAATTTGGATTTTTCATAAAATTAGCCGCGATCCTCATTCAAGAAGGATCGATTTTGCGAAAAGTGCGAAATGCATATCAGATAAATGTTCACAAAGTTTTATTTAAAAATTATTGGATGGTAAAAAGTAGAATTGCAGTAAGCGCTTAAAGCGCATTTTCCGCTTTGATTTCACAAAAAGAGCAAATTTTCGTAAAGATGTTTGGAGCACGAAACTTCTCAAGCCAGTTCTTTGACCCTCATCTACCGGGTAAGAATAGATTTTCCACAAATCCCTTAAAATTATTTTCGATCGGATAGTTAAGCAAAATTGTTTCATACAAACGTTTTTCGCGATTTTCCCACACTTGCGGCTGGTATTTCCCGAAACTAGCTCTTACGGCTCTCAGGATTGGGTTCTATATTGATCAATAATCATTCAGTCAGTCAGTCATTCAATCAGTGGTCCAGTCAATGATATAGTCAGTCGTTCAGTCAGTAAATTAATGAATATTATATACTTATTATATATGAAAAATGATAATTTTATCATAGACAGTTCTTATAGGTTTCTTTTCTGATGGAACCTAATAAAATATTATTATAGTAAGAAGATGTCATGTATATACCTCTTAAGGTTACAGTTTATGATTGTTACACAGCGTAGTATATCAAATATATTTAAGCACCTAAACCATATCGAACCAATTTAGGGAGCCAATGAAACAAGTTCTATCTTGGTCAAACACTTTCAAACAGAACCCTGCTCAAAATGCAGCCCATTCCCGTGATATTAAGTCTATTGATCGCGCCGATTATTGCGACAACTGAACTGCCCGATAAGCAGCTTGTCAAGGCCAGGGTATTTTCGGGTATAGAAACCAGCATTCAGGAGCTGGGTGGCTATGCAGTGCAAATCTATAAGGGCAGTAAAATGACGTGCACTGGCAGCCTCTTAACCAAATTTCATATTCTAACTGCGGCTCACTGCTTCGACAACGAGGATTATACGAAATTTCACGTGATCGCCGGTCGAACAAACTCGGAGACCTTTTTCTATCCAGACGAGATCATAAACTTCGTAATCAAGCTAAAAATGCATCCGAGCTACAATAAGTTAAGGTACATTGCCGACATTGCCATGATAAAGGTTAAACTCGCCATCAGAACTCCAGAAGTTAGCTATTTGCCACTCTGCACACGGAAGATGTCAGCCGGACTTATGGCCACCGTGTCTGGCTGGGGCGCTAGCGAGTTTACCAGGTCCAAAAACACGCTACGAACAATAAGGGTGCCTCTCATTGCCAAAGCGGAATGCAACCAAAAGTTGGGCCGCAAAATGCCACGCAACGTGTTCTGCGCCTCCGGCTACAACGGTCGCACGATCTGCAGTGGCGACTCTGGCGGGCCGCTGGTCATCCGGGGTGAACTGTGCGGCGTCAGCGTATGGACATATGAATGTGGTAACAAATTGATGCCCGATGTCTATATGAGCGTGAACTTTTATCGCGACTTTATCAATAAAACAATTACGGAAATGGGCGACTAGCTAACAGCTCCATAGGAAGTCGAACTATCAACAATTTCGTATTTGAGGTAGAAAACAAGAAAAAAAAAATTAAAATCAAGTGATCTCAATAAAGTCAAAATATGTATAGATAATGAAGCGAACATTAAATGACATTTAAATTTCTTTATCATAGATCCTAAAACTATCTATTAACTATCAAATAGTCCGTTGAATTATAATCATTCCGCTTTAATTAATCGCAATAGTATATTAACATAAGTTAACACGTCATTATAAACCTCTGTCCCTATCTTAAATTTTCTCGAGCTAAATATGCCTTTCATGAACCATTCCGAATCCTCTGTCATGTTTACAACAAGCAACCTTGCTTATTCATGCCTTGATACTTTTAGTTCGCCAAGAGAACATTGTGTGATCTGATTCCGAACTCCTCACGCTCAATGCGCCCAAAGGCTAGACTACACATTCTCTTTCGCATTTACAGCTCTCTGCTCACTTTTCGCTGTGCTCTTATGCATTATCGCTCTCTAGCGTGAATTCTTGCCAATCGTTCCAAAGAGTATCATTTCTTGAAATCCCTTTCTCAATGCGTAGTCTTCCAGTGCGCAGTCATGCATTGAGAGCGTGTGAGAGTGGCAGAGAGAAAGAGCGCGCTACGCTGCTGCATTGAAAGGAGAAAAGCAGAAGACGAAAACAAGTAACAACGAAACCACAAGAGCAATGAAAATGCCACAAACCTGCCGGCAGCGCGCTACGATTCCAGGCAGTTTTTATGTACATATGTACACACATACATGCATACATACTTAATTCATTATTGGTGTTGTTTTTGTGATTGTGCTTGTTGCTGCTGTTAGTTTTGCAGCTTGTCAGCACACTTTCTGTCGTCTGGCTGAGCGTTTTATCAGCTGCCGCTACAATTTTATGAATCGCCTCTCTCTCTCTCTCTTTGCCATTGCCTCTCCAACGCGTGGAATGCCAAGGCGCAACTATTGCTGACGCAGCCCGCTGCCCTGTTGCGCCAACCCCCTCCCCTTGACCATTGTTCAACGCCCAGCAAACCCACTCTCGGGGTTCGCTCAGTATTTGTAGCTGTGGCCGTTTTTAGTGCACGTTGGAATCTTGACGCGAGCGCGACGATCGCTCATAGTGTAAACCGTAACCAAAGCGATTCGAATTGTAAAAACCCCGTTTCCCTCGCTTTTTTGTCTGCGATTGTGTTTGTGCGTGCGCGTTAGTTTGTGTGTGTTAGCTGTCTGTGCATACATACATATCTATCGATTCGTGTTGATAAGTTGTCGGTTAACGAGAGAAGCAACCTAATAAACATCTACTTGACCTTTACCAAAGTCTCAGAGCACCTAACAAAATGAGGGAAATTGTGCACTTGCAGGTCGGCCAATGCGGCAATCAAATTGGTTCAAAGGTGCGTATAATCAATATTCCATTAGTGTGCCAGTTTGGACGCCCCTTTTGATCAATTATTTAGATTTTTTCACTGTATTCCTAACCTCACATCTTAAATTATAAAACAGAACGAAATAAAAGCGCTCTGCGCTTTCCACGCTCAATCTCTTTCGCTCTGCCGCCGCTTCCTCTCGCTCTCGCTCTCTCTCTCTCTCTCTCTCTCTTTTAATTGGTCGCTCTCTGTGCGTGCTCTCATTTATTGTTTTGCTGCTCTGCTGCAGATTGTTTTGCCGGGGTTGGGGCAGACAACAGGCGGCTGCTCTCTCAGTTCGAGAAACTATAGAACTGCAAAGCGGCAACACATACATAAACTGACTCAGCCGACCGTTCTAGAAGTTTTAATTCGCGCTGATTTATCTTATCATGCTAATGATATCAGCAGGCAGGCGGCCAGCTGAATGTGTTTTGAAGCATTGCACTCCCTCCCCCCCCCATAGATCATTTCCCGAAACGTAACATAAGCCCAGTTGTGCACTGCGACAAAATGTTATGACAGTCGTTTAAAATTGGTTATTGTGTTTGTTTTTGGCCGGCGATTCGTTCCAACCAGAGACATATTGACACTTCTAGAAGAAGCACCTAAAACACATGTAAAGCTGTTGTTGATCTTGAACTTTCTGGTCTGAGTAATGGATACAGCGTTTGAATGTATTTCGAAACTTTCGTGAAGGTTTCGTTGGGGCTGTGCTGTTCATACATATACTGTTTCACGGCTCACACGGTTTGGGTAATTAATGCTAGGGTAAGCTTTCTTTCGAGTGCCCTCTACACATGACTAAATTTACCTGCTGTTTCGTATGAACACAAACGATTTGCCTTAGAAAATGCCAGATAATTGGGAGCTGTAAGGAGAAGCACACACTGCCGTACGTATGTATGTACATACATGCATAATTAATGCGGCACAAACAGAATTGTGTATCTTGTAGCTATTGTATCTATAAGTTTGATAGCTTCCCTCGCCGCACGACATACACCCATACACCCATAGTCTTTGATGTATCGCCCTGCTTGGCTACAAGTTCTTATCAGCATTTTGCCATTAGTTAGCCAACACTTGGCCCCGCAGCTAACTAACTACTTACCAATACCTATGCACGAGCTTGTATGCGTGTAATCAGTATGCTTGTTTACAGAAACTTGGAACACACATAGATAGCTACGAGTCATAAATGGTTGACAGTTCGTATCGCTGGCATAGCCAAAAATAGGCATTGCATATGGCAAAGGCTATTCGCTTGTTTGGCCTGCTGTGTGACACACGCTGGCTGACAGAAGCTGGCCACTTTTTCACTTAACCCCGCATGCTGGCTGCCAATTAAAGGCATACCCGAAAACAAAACTCGAACCAACTGTTCGAGGCGCAGCCCCAAAGCGCAACTCGGTGCCCATTCTAAGCTAATTTAGCGCATTAATGTTCGCTCGCACAATTTACCCCATCATGAAAATCCAGAAACAGCCGCAACAACAACAACAACAACAACAACAACAGCAGCAACAACATCAATGAAGTCGTTGACGTTTGACACAGTTTTCTTTTTTCTTGTTGTTGTTTGTTGTGTCTTGTCTTGCTGTGTGTTTCTTCGTTTCCCAGCACAGTTTTCTCCACACATTAGCCCATCTGCATATTTCGTTTCGTTTCTGCTTTTTGCCGGCTCTTTACACGCTTTTCCACTTCAATTTTATGTAAACATATTTTCTAAGCCTTTTTCTTTTTTTTTTTTTTTTGATTTTGTCCGCATGCTACCAAGCTAATTAGGCCGCACTTTGCGATGACAAAGCCATGGCCTATCCCATCGGGTTTTTGCATGTGCCCATTTCGGCTTTGCCAACGCCAGCACAATTTAAAGTTTATTTAAATAAATACATAATTTATACAATCTGACAATTCGGCAATATAAAAAACTGTTGTTTCATTAAATTTGCCTATAATAATATTGAGCAAAATTTCGCTGCTGGCATTATTTACAAATAAATTTAAATTTGGTTCATTCTCACTGCGTTATAATATTTTGTAATTTAATTGAATGTCAATTTCTGATTAATTGGCTGTCCGTGTGAGTTATTGTTTGTGCGCTAAAATAAATAAATAATAAATATGCAAAACTGCGTGCGTGGCGCAAAAATAAGCTCACAAAATAGACAAATTTGTGTCCAGCAGCAGAAAATTGTGCATATATACAAATATATATATATACATACTGTATATTATATAATATATGTTTACATATGCTTTTATGTTAAAAATCAATTGCTGTACAGATAATGAAAAAAATTTTAAAAAAATTATGGGGCTTTCATAGCCATGTTTTTATTGTACAATTATAATAAATTTGTCATTAGCTTTCAAATTCATAAATCAATAAAAGCGATAACATAGGGGCTCGCAAATGGGCTAACAAAATTATGCATTTTTTTCATCATAATTTTTGTTTCATGTAGCTAATTGAGTATCTATAAAAGTATCCATATAAATACTGTAGTATGTGTGTGTGTGTTGACACTCTTATTTAAATGGCAAGCTTATCAGCTAAACTTATTTAGATTCAGAATTAATGGACCCTGACAAAAACGTCAAACTAACCTTATTTAACATAGTTTAGCTGAAATCAAAAAAATTTAAGAAACTCCATATTCCTAGACTATCTCTGGAAGAAACTTAGCTTTTCAATTTAAGCTTCATTTCCATTTCTTATTAAAGCTTATTCCATTCTCTGTTAATCTGTTTGCCGTTGCTAAGTTGTTAAGTTTGAGGCTAATGTGTATGCTAAATGTGAGCAACTGCCGTGTTTACTTTATCTCGGCAACTTCAACAAAGTGTTTATCACCTTTTCATTAAAATCGCGGCTGCTAACTGAAGGTTTATGTATATATTTTTTTTTACATTACTTTCTACCTGGTTTTGAAGCAAATCTCAACAAACAGCTTTGCCGCACGATGAGCTACCTAAGGCAGTTTCGAGCCCACGGCACATATATTTTCTCTTTTCTTTATTTTTTGCTTGTAACCAACCTAAATAAAACCTTATTAAAGCTTCTCTCTCATTCAGGGCCAAGGGTTTCAAGAATTGTTAAAGCTTTCTCCGTGCGCATTTTACAATTGCATTAGCTTCTTTTTATTACATTTAACTTTCTCAGCTCTGGAATCAGCCCCCAACGAAAAGAATATTATTTTCGGCGCTTTTGTGCTTTAATTTTGCAATATGGCCTTAAGTCTTTGCTGGCTGTTGTAGAGACGCTCAAAATTGATCACACATGCGAGCAAGGATGTATATTTGGTTATGAGGCAGACGGGTCATGCATGCCAGGATATTTTATAGAGGCCTGCAGCGAGCTCTTTTTCATTATTTACATAAACCTAATTTTCCCTAAATCATTTTGTGAACAATAACAGGGAAAATCTATTTACGGCGTGCCCCGTCTTCGCCCTTAATTCAAGCACACCCCCTCTCTCTAAACTAGAAAACAGTAAAGAAACGACAACAGCGAGCAGGCAAAAAGCCAAAGAAATGGATATGGAAAAACGTGAAAAAGTGAAAAAGTGAGAAGGAA